ATGAAGGGTCTACATGGAGTCGTTTTCGCTGCAGAACGTTGGAAGTGGGCTGAGGGGGTGTCGGGTGGCTTTGACTGGCGTGACGCCCCTCCGTTCTCCACCAATCGTCGAAGCGGGCAAGCGACAATGACTGGTAGAAAACGGAAACTCAGGTCGAGCGAAATGGTCGAAGGAGTCATGAATCAGGGTTTCAGCAATTGCTCCCGAACAGACCTGCGCTAACTTCTTTGCCGTACTTTTTTGGCACAGCTTGCACCGTCTCATGAGCTGACCTAATGAATCGATTCACTTTCCGATAAGCAGTGAGAGGAAGCGTTAGCCGCCTTTTACATCTGACCCCTAGCTAGGTCAGAAACAAAAGTGGTTCCTGCAAAAAAGTGCTGAATGCATATTCCGCGATAATGAATGCTGAGTGCATATTCCGCGATAATGAGATGGGCGGAACCTTACTATGATCATGCCTTCTTCATGGTGCGCTCTTCCTTCTGACGAAGAAAGTGAAGAGAAGGGCATACCAGTCAAGAAAGTGCCAAGGCTATGTGCTATGTGTGCCCATTCATGAAATCGCGACAAAGTCCGTGGAGATGGCCAAGATGAGGTCCAAAAGCATAGCCGTGCCTTCCATTTCCCACAAACGTTTCTGATGTACTGTTCACCAATGACATCTGCATATACGACCCCTCCTCCTTCCCTTAGCGGGTCAAGTAAGACCCCACGCCGCAGCTCATTCTTGGCTCCTGTCCCAAATGAGAATGGGTCCATCATTTGAAGCTGGTAGTCGTTAGTGGTCTGAGCGGAGTTCAGTTGGAGGGGGGAGGCATTTTGCACTTTCGCTACCTCCCATCGTCATGTCAAGCCATCAAGTAGAGATCTGTGAAATCTTGCGAAGCCATGAAGTGATACCATTCAAAGATTGTAGAGACTACTCGTAAACTCTTGTAAAGCAACGAGCACGACGTTGGGAAGTCGCAAATGTGCAAAATGCCCCACTGCCCCCCCCCCCCACCCCCCTTTTCTTTTCTCCCCTCCCCAAGCCTACCTGTTTCTAGATAGAACTACATTTATGATCTGATTGTCGCCATGAGATGTTATCTGTATTCTTGCACATCAACACTGACCTGAGGTAGTTTCAGTGGGAAAGAATACGAGCAACAATGATGATGAGCATTAACGTGGTCTTGGGGCTCGTGGTCGTGTTGTCGATGCTGATTCTGAGCATTTCTGCGAAATTAAAAATTTATAGCACATTCCACGATGAGGGGATTCGTAAGCAATGTGCCTGTTTCCCGTAAGTCTGTCCCCAATACAATAAAGTGAGCAAGCACCCTTATGTTTCCACATCCGACTCTCGCCCCACCGGCGCAACGCTGTCGTGAAACTTATCCGGATTTTAACTGTTGGCGCTTTCTCCTCTGAGGCTGTACGCCTTCTTCGGGTCAGTCGATCTGTCGGAGGCAGTAATTTTTTCATATCAATTTGGGGCTATTGTAAACCACAACAACAGTGCACAGGGGACAGCCTAAGAATGAACAAATTAAAATATTGATTCCAGCAAGCCTTAAAAGGATAAATATTTAATAAATAGTAAGTACCTTGAAGAAGATACCAGTAAGCCATAAATTGGCCCGAAATAGAGTACATCCGTTGAAATCGATTTCGTCTAACCGTACAGTATAGACGTTGTCATACTAAATAGGTAATTAAAGCATCCGTCACACAAAGCGGTATAATTCAGGAAATCGAGTCCTGTATTAAGCTAGAGCTTTAGTCGGAGCTAGTTGACCCGACATAGATTTTTGCGTCAAATCAAACGTCATGGCACCTTGAATTGAGAAAGGAATAAACGTGTGGGACGTACATAGGTAGACACGACACGACTGACTGGGCTTGAAAATGCTGTGTTCGGAGTCATACGTAGCTATGAACTCAGCTGTTTACTGCGGCGACGTCTCCTTGGCTGTTCTCGAAGTACAGTCCCACACAAACTCATTCATAAGATGCTATTATAGTCTCTGCACGCGCTGCCGTCGGTTTGCCCTTGTCCTGATTTATCCTGGAGGAATTGTGAGCCTGCCGAGGGACAGGTGCCAGCGATCCGCTGCGTCCTGGTGTTTTGGGAAAAAAAATGGTAGCGCGGACGGCTGAAGTGGTGAATGTTCGCGCGAGTTGCAAGTAGAAAGGTAGGGATGCGTTGGTTTGGCAGGAAAACGCCTTGTTGGTGGACACCGACGCGGATGGCCCACCGCCGATCGTCGATGATATGAATCCTCCATGTGAGCGCTACAGTAACCCAGGTCTTTGCAAGAGCCTCCAGCTTTGCAGGCCTATGGCGCGATTCGCGCTGAACACGTCCAGCGTTTGAGTCAATGAGATGTAATTGCGAGTGGCCAGAAGCAGTAATAACATTGCAGACGTACACGCTTGAGGAGCTAATTCAAGCGTACGGGAATGCGAGTTTGATGGGCGAGGGAGTTGGGGATTGCTCGAGACGGTCTGATGCTATGCGATGAGAGGACGCAGACGAGCAAGCAGGTTTGCCGCCACGATAGGGGGAAAACTGCCTCATTTCCTTTACGATGGCCATTTGACACCAGGTAAATGCCATCAGAGTGTGTTCTCTGATCAAGTTTTCGAGCGTTATTTGAAATCCTTCGGGTCTGTGGCTATCCAATGGCGGAGCGCTGCGAGGATGCCGCAGATGTTGGGCACGAGTTGGCTCGTCCAAATTGTGATAGGACTACGAAAAGATGGTCAGCCAGCGGAATTTCAGTCGAAATACCGTGAACTAACGCAAATTCCTTGCTCCAACATTTGCCTAAGAATACAGTAACGCAACTCTGAGGGTGCCGCCCCTTTCGTGCGCGACTCATCGCGCGCGATGCAGGACGGCGTTTACCGCTAGCTGCACGAGAGATCGCCCATGCTCCTCAGCGCTCTCTTATATATAGATATGTAGTAGCTCAGTAAATAGTGCGGTAAAGATTTAATACTGTGATGTCGTTCGTTTCCAACACAAGGGTTGTTGGCGCTGAGCGCGGACTAAAAAATTTGTTGCACCATCAATGAGGTCTAGAATAAATGTGACGAAAAACGCAGTGAAGAAGAAAATATGTCTGAAATAAAAGTATTGTGTGAAATTGCATTCTCAGTTTTTATACTCCTCATCATTACGGACTGTCGGGGCGGGTCAGTGCGGCTGCGTTTTCCGCGGTTCCAAAGTCTTTCTGCACCAGTTGTTGAAGCGATCAAATGACATAACAGCATTATATCCTTCGTATTACTCGTTTTCTACCACTTTTTGTCGCATACGCGCTTCAAAAAGGCTGAGAACGGCTTCAAACAGTGTGCGCACTCCTGCTGGCGATACGCCCGACAGTCGTAATGAAGAGGCAGTGTATGAGTCTAGAGTATGAACAGCCCTGTCTCGTCCTCTGTTTACAAGGAAGTGGTGCGCTTATTCATGTTTGCCGTCATTGGCACGTAATGCGTGTTGCGAACATGTTTGTGTGCGTGCACGACACGCACCGCTTTGCACACGATCTACTAAGGGTACTTTCCGACAAAAAAGGCACGGTCCAAACAGGAGCACTGCCTTTTGCCAAATGTTGCGTATGCTAGTTAGTGCTGCTCCCGGCTAACGTCGTATGTTGGGTCAGATGGGAGAAGGGTGGGGGCGCGGAGGTTGGGGGGGGGGGCAAGAGGTGTCTGATCGATACTTGGGATAAGTTTTCTAGCTTGCCGATTTTTTAGTTGTAGCGCGCTGTATATACCCCCCCCCTCCTCCGCTCGACCGCAAATTTGTGGGAAGATTTGGTAAGATGACTGGTCGGTTGTGGAAGCTGGTCGAATTGGAGTAAATTCCTAAGGTTGCATTTATTGGGGAACTCTCGTCAACCAGGACGCCAGGACGTGCTATGACTGTCCCAATAGTGATGCTTTTTATGCGATATGACAAAACTTACCTAACAGCACTATTATTGATCCATTTGGCATCTAATCGATCGAGTGCTGTCCATCGAATGTATGCCATGGCAACGGAAAGATATAATGAGCATGTATGCAATGCAATCGATGATGTCACATGTCCAATCAAGAAGACCAGCCATGGGTAGGAGTAACTGAAATGAGAATTTTTGATGGGAACTTAAAATGTTATATGATTGTCAATTGGGGCTTGGATAAGGAGTGCCCCAACTCAAGGCATTCACAGTAAGTTGGACACCGGCTCAAGTTCTAGTCGGAGCGCCTGGCCTTCCAGGTCACATCATTAGGTACAGATATCATGTATAACAGCTGTTGTGTACATGGCTGGTGCCTAAATGGTTGAGGAGGGCCTAGTGGTTGCCCACGACAAACGGGTCCTCCGCCATGTTTCCGCCACGCCTTCTATACTGTAGTTCGCTGCGGACGGTTGGGCGTGTCAGTGCGGCTGCGTTTGTGCCAAACTCGTTCTCCACCAGTTGTTGAAGCGGGCAAGTGACAATACTGTATCATATCCTTCGTATTACTCGTTTTCTACCACTTTTTGTCGCATGCGCATTTCAACAAGACGGCAGAGAAAGGCTCTGAAGGTGTGAACACTCGTACTGACTGACACGCCCAACCGTCCGCAGCGAATTAGAGTGTATATCTCCGAGATATGGACTGTACACCGAGAAGCGATTGCACCTTTCGCCCAATCACAGACTGCGCTTTGGAACATTCCGCAATAATCGGATGGGCGGAGCCTCGCGACACTTGCCTCATCTTCATTAGCGTGTTCCTCCTGATGCCGTCAATAAAGTGACCCCCCTATGAATGGGCAAAGTTTGTGAGCCTTCACCTAAGTGATTATCGTGGAATGTGTCCTGAGGCGTTCCCAATGCCATTTTGATCCCATTCCTTCTGCTAACGGGTGCGCATAAAGTCCACATCATGCATTTGCACAAGCAAGACTCCCAAATATCAAGTTATCGATTCACTTACCCAATTACACCGTCATTGTCGAAAATTCGGAATTTAACAATGTAGATCAAATAGGATGTCATTGTGAGAGCATCACACATAGCCATTGCACATAGTACTGCGTTTATAGTATAAACGCGCATTGGTCGGCGACTGGAAAAGGATAGGATTGGTGACGACATGATCTAGGCGTTTTAGGTGCAGCTCACCTCAGAACATAGAAATGCAATGAATTAAGAAGGATGCCCATTATACAGACCACCAAACACACGTATCGATGAATACCGGTATAGATTCTGAAAGTATTGTAGGAATACATATTGCAATACACGCGAAATAGCCCCTTTCCGAGCACTATTGTAGTTGGGGGGGGGAAGGGAAGGGAGGGCGCTTTGTAGCACCTCTGTGCCCTTTCCTCAAACCAGGACAGGCTTAATGGAGACTATTCCTTCTCTGTGAAATTACCTCTTGACGTTCCCTGACAAGATTATACGTTTAGGAACACAGGAAGGAGGGGAAGCTTCGTGGTGAGGTCTGAAAGCGAGAACGACGCTAAGTGCGCTCTCCGCTAAGTCAGGTGCTGCCCAGGCGTAAAGTAAGTGGTGCGGTATGCGCTAGCTGCTCCCACGCATTCAAATTTACGCGTGGTTCAGGATACTGTATCCCGCTCACTCTCCTGTACTTATAATTCAATGTCCATGCACTCGGAGTGCTGATCGTTCGCGTTCTACGCGCAAGTTGTGGTCAGGGGAAGGCCCATAAAAGAGTGGCCTAGTGTTCCTCAACGACGTCAGTACCACCCCCCCCCCGCACGTTCCTGCTAATTTTATGCAAAGTAGATCATTGTTTTGCAGGTAAATTAACAAACCCTTAACCCATTCTCTCTATCTCTACTCTTCTCTTATTCTTCTTCCTGCAGTGTTTCCTTGCTCAGGTAATTCGTGGCGTGCAGCAAGGACCGCAGGGGATTGAGTCACCTGCGCTCTGCTTAGCTTAGATCAAGGAGGGGATAGAGACGAACTGCGTGCCCCTCTCCGGACCTTCATGTCGCATTTTTGCAGGCGCAAAGGAACCATAGAGGAGCGCGATTATGCCGTATCGTCATCTTACTGAGATAGTGTTCGAATTGTTTTGGAGTGGTTCCAGACGTATTTTGTGCAACAAATCAAGAAACCAAATGCGAATAGAATGTGACGGGTATGGCGCGACTGTTCCACGCTCTTATGAAATGGCATGGCACACGCGCGTATCCCTCCCACTACTATCTTTGCCCTTTCCATTTCCTTCCTACGGTCGACTTTCAAACGTACCATGAGCGTACTGAGTAGTAAAAAAGAAGTAGACTTACTGGCTAAAGGCTTCTAATTCTGCGAAAAATCTCTTTGTGGCATTGTCACTGAGATCGAATAAAGGTGGATCGTTCTGGCATTGCATCGCTATGTGTGATCTGAAAATCGAATCGAAAAAGTCAGCAAATTGGTAAGGAGAATAATTGAAACGCAACGTAGACACGCGTAGAAGGAGCCGAAATACAAACGGGCATTCGCAATCAAAGATGATGTCAGAGTGCAAAGATGAGTGACGGTTTGAACTGAGTGTGATATGCTATTTTACTTTTAATTTCTACATAGCGGCGGCGAGCTTGGACTAGACTAGTAAGTATCTCCTAGCCAATTGACTCGACATTCTGCAGCACTTTTGAATGGATCAGGTCCTGGTGCAAATGTCGCGCACTGACTACTTTTGCAGCGCCACGTCGCCACAATGTGGTTGTAATTCACTTCCCCTCCAGTCTCTTCGGATGAATAAGCTCTGTTATGCAGTGGGTAGCTGAAAAATGGGCGCTGAAGAAAATTTATCATCTCCCAGAAGCAGTTCTCTTGTTCTGTCGTCAGGTTCTCGTTAGCATTGTCAAGGTAGAAAGTGCAGAAAATATGCTATAAAACTCTATCTATTATGAAGCTGCCAACTCGGTTTGAATGCAGGAAAAACATGGGAAAGAAGGCGACCATACTTTCTAGCCACCCTGTACTTGAGTCTGGCTCTGGAAAGTCATAATCCAAGCGCGTTCGAAGCCTATGACTTCGAATGGAAGTGACAGGAAGGGGGATCGCTGGGAGAAAATCCGATTCGATAGACCCCCCCCCTCCCCACTGTCTCTGTCACAATCCTACAACTTTATCGTCCAAACAGCTGCGGAGTTAAGCTAGGTAGGGGGTGAAGGGAACTGGAATTGGCACACCGCAGAAAAACTTTGAATCGGTCACTCATACCCTCTGGAAGATCTTCTATCACAACAGGTTGAATACCCCACGTTTCCAAAATATGACCCTCTTACCTGGCCTTTCCAGGGGTGGCGCGCCCTACACGAGTGCCTTTTTCGAAATTCGACCCACTCTTCAGTCGAGTTGGTTGAGTAACTGACTGTAAAAGTCAAAACTCGGTAGTAATGCAAACATAACACAACGTGTCATCTAACACAAAGAACGATAAATTGTGAAATGAAATTAAAAATATAAGAAGAATGAAAGGAAGACGCCAAAGGAGAAGCGGTGGAGCACCAGGATGAAAAATGGGAGAAAAATGTGAAAGGGGGTTCTATAAAAAACTAGATATCCCCCCAACAAAAATTAGAGAAATGAAAAGGAGCCTGGCAGAAGCTCCAGCAGCTACCGTGACTATCGCACGCTAAGTGCCCTTCGAAGAAGCTCAGCTGGAACAATGTCCTGATGATAACCGTTCGATGGCCTTCACGTCGACGATCCCTTGAAAACAAGAAGATTCACATGGGAATTACTGTTCATGGGTGAAACATCAGAAAACGGCCATAGAGAAATCTGTGTACATGATCGTGGTGGGATCCTCATGGGGAGGAGACGCTTTTAGTCTCTAGGGAAGGGATTGTCTTGAGGGGACACTTCCCACATGCTCATGATGTACGCTTGGACCAATAGCCAACAAAGCACAGAATGAATTCGACCGCATTTAAACGAACAATTCTCGAGAGAGGAGAGGGAGGAAGTTTCGCTTCAATAATTATTATATGAGAGGTGCCTTCCTCGTCATCGCCATAATGAGTTGTGTTTTTGCGTCATTTCAGGTAATAAAGAATGATTAATTCTGTTAACGAGCTACACCACATGGCAAAATTATGCTTCTAGATGTTATTGGATGTCTTCCTTCATCGAACTGGAAAATTTGAAATTCCCAAAAAAAAAAGTTGGATGACAAACTAGTAACGCCATGAGTTGGCTACTGATGTCGCTATCCAATGAACGAGTAAATGAGGGAAATGCTCTCGGCGTTGATCGACAGGATGCGCCGTAGATTCTGCTTCCATTCAGAATTGTGGTGACCTCAAAGGCGCTTTCTAGAAAAGAATGGTTTGCGAGTGCCAGCCTACGTATATATAGGAGCTTTTAGCATTCCAGACAGATCTGATGCCGACTAATCTTCCATCAGGAGGATAAAAGCCTTGGTTGGCTTTGGCCAGAATTTAACTCTTCTGGCTACTAGACAATGGAAATACCACGTTGTCAGCAGCCAGAGTTCAAAAAAGCGCCGTTTGGCTCGAATGCGGAGCATTTTGCGCTTTGCTAGTTGTTTTTGTGAGTTCATGTTAACTGGAAAGCGCTCATGCTCTGGAATAGCCTAGTAAATCGCTTTCATTTTTTGAAACCACATAGATTAATGAACCGTTTTGGTTTTTTGGATTCACAAGAAGGCCTGCACAGGCTTTGCTGAGAATAATTCAGTGCCCCCACGTAGCCGGTCTGCTTCAAATGAAATAAATGAGGCAATATAAAAGGGCAAAGAGGAGAGCTTCAACCGTTGATCAGTCCGTTCTTGGAATGTGGCACGCGTTCTACCTCCATTTAGAAGCGCAGTGACTCGTTTAATGCAACTGGCTCTCAGAAATGCTTGTGGTGGTCAGCCAATGAACAAGTCGGTGTTCTATCCCTCCCAGACGAATCTGGTTCAAAATTTCCGTCCCGGAGGAGCCCCTGCTTGTATGGGTGGGAATCCGCTCGAGATTTGAGCCCGTGTCCTCGCATTTGTTAGGCGGGCCACCTGCCACCAGTTGACCTCCATCTCGAATGAAGAAATGTGGAAAACTGAATTAATCTGGATTTGAAGTACATGTTTGAAGAGGAAGATAAAGGCATTCTGTTCACTCCATATCCCGCAGATGGAAAGGGCGTGGCTGCGTACTTCACTTGGACAGCTCTCAGACTGAGCAGCGGCAACTGCTCTCTAAGTTGTCGCTTTGCGACATTTGTTATCATGTCTCTGCCCAGCACAAGACATGATGACAGTTGTCTCCAATGGAAACGTCCTCCGATTACCCATTCTACGCCATGTTTAGATGAGGTGCACAGCCACGCCTTCCCCATCTCCAAGATATGGAGAGCAATGAAGGTAATCTGCTCTAGAGGATGATTCAGAGCGAAAGCATCCAGGGCTTGCGCGCGTTGAAACCCATATAACCTCGACAATAATCTTGAACATATAACCTCATTTGCGAAAACTAAATTATAAAGAGTGAAATATGCTCTAACTTTTTTTTCTATCGACTGTTGACGACCGATGAGCACGTCACAAGTGGGGCAAACAAGGGCTGGAAAGGTGAGCATGTTTAGCAAGATAAGGTTACCCGATGAAAAACTCAGTTGTAGGGCCACTTCAGATTCACACGAAGAAAACAGAAGCGGAACGAAATCACAAAAAGATGTTCCTGGAAAGCTTAGGTTCATGCTATCGTTAATGCATGATATTATCTAGAGAGCCAAAGAACGTCCAGCGAGCTACTACTAAGCCTATGGGATCATTACAATAAGCTGAGAAGTTGGCTTTTTGACTTTGAAAGTTCCAGGCCAAAATTGTAGGTTTTAATGGCTCTGTGCTGTAAGATAATATCCACTTGCAAGGGAGTAAAGGTCGACTTCTCCTCACTAATAATAATGTGATGATAATGAGAATGAGACTCTTCTGGCTGCTTATGATGACATGTAGTGAAATGAAAAGGATCTAATTTAGCTCTGATGAGCTAAAACCACTTGAAATGCTGCTGCGGTCTAGAAAAGAATCACCTAAGAATTTTGTATGAGCCATAACGTGAAGCTTTCTTTGTACATTCCGCCTCACACGCAGCTCGTTAGTTTCCTTCTCCAACCGCTTTGCCACACCCACACACTCCACTTCATCCAAAAAAAGGCCTAGTCAGGCACGTCGTATTGGGTATTCAGTGAGAGGTCGCATTTGGTCGGTGGAGGGAGGGTCATATTTGGTCTAACAATTTTTCCACCGTTTTCTTTTCTCGGGGTCAGATTTTCATACATCGTTGAGTGAGAAATTAAATTTTGCAGCGAGAAGGACGGGTGGGGAGGGGTGGAAGAGGGAGGGCGTATTTGCAGATCGTAGTGTTTAGTGGCGACCTCCTTGATGGGATGCTGGGAAAAATGAGTGGAATGGTAGATAGGATGGGGAAGTGGGTGGAAATTCAGTGGGTCGTGACTTCTAAATATATATTTTCTTTTTAGCATAGAGAAGTTGCCCTGTATCATAGTTGGTATCTTTGACATGACAAAGCAAGGGCCAGCGGCAAGTGACGCCGATTATAATGCTCACGGTCGCAGGATCAGATTTCGGGAGGTTCCGATTCAGGTCAACAAAGCTTTTCATCCCAAATCACTTGAAGGCAAAGCACGAGACCCCTTTTTCAAAAATAAGCGATCTGAAATACGATTGAGAAGGCAGGAAGTTATTCATTAAGAAAGGAAAAACGGACTGAAATAGTGGGGAATGCCGTTTATAGGGCTCTGTACCGAACCGGGGGGGGGTGGACGTGGACCTGGAATTGTGGGGAGGATAACAATCGTGTACATCGGCGAGTCTCTGCAGCTTATTGCATTAGTCACTTCACCTTGGAAATGCTAAATTCAGAACTGGACGCAAATCCACGAAAAAGATTCCAGTTCATGTTGGAGTAGAGTGCGTTGCCACGCCCTTCCTATCTTCGGGATATGGCAGCTAATGTGAGAGATGTAATGTTATTTGTCATACTCATGACGTGCCCTTGTACTGTGGACGATTGCTGCTGGAAGCAGTGGGACCACTTGGTTGCGGAACACGAATTTCGAGCTATCAGATATTCATAGGCTCTCCGATGGCTTCAAGAGGCAAAGTTTTGCTTTTGCGGAGCTCTACATCTATTCGACTCCTCTTTCCCCATCCCCACGCGCAAGATACCATAGGAAGCTTTTGATGAGGGCATAATCCAAAGTGTCGTAGAAAATTGATGACATGTAGGAATTCAATTATAGAAGTATTAATTCAATGGTAGAAACAATATCCTCGGCGCTCATCTAAATTGCATGGCACTTTTATATCATGCCTTTTTTCGCGTCTGGTTGGTCTCCTTGCAAATTAGATAA